TCAAAGGGCAAGCCTTGGCCGACTTCATCACTGAATGCACAGCAAGGGAGACGACCGTCGCCAACCCCGGGCCGGAGCCGGACGATACATGGATCCTATTCACTGATGGCTCGTCGGCCGCAAAATCATGCGGTGGCGGCGTCGTCCTCATATCCCCTGAAGGATTCAGAGCTTACTATGCCATCCACTTCAACTTCAGGGTATCCAACAACGAAGCCGAGTATGAGGCCCTCCTCAGCGGTCTTAGGCTCGCCGCCGGCCTCAAGGCCAAGCACCTCAAAATCAAGTGCGACTCCAAACTGGTAGTGGGCCAGGTGGAGGGATCGTACGAGGCAAAGGAGGGACGGATGCGACAGTACAAACAGGCAGCAGAGGAGTTACTGAAAGCGTTTGAAACCCACGAGATCACCCAGATCCCAAGGGCCGAGAACGCCGAAGCCGAGACCCTCTCCAAGCTCAGCTCAGACACTCCAGAGCACATCTCCAGGATAGCCAACATCGAAGAGCTGAGCATGTCTAGCATTCATGCCAGCCCCATCTCATGCATCCAACAGCGACCAGAGGACTGGATCTCGGACATCGTCACCTTCATCACGGCGGGGGAGCTACCCTCGGACGAGGAGAGGGCCAAACTTGCCAAACTCAGGGCCCCAAGCTACACCATTGAAGATGGCAAACTCTACAAGCGATCCTATAACGGCACTCTCCTCCGGTGCCTGCACCAGGATGAGGCCGACATGGCCATGGAAGAAGTTCATTGTGGCGTCTGCTCCTCGCACCAGGGCCCTTTCAGCATGTCCCGACGTCTCGTCGTCCAGGGCTTCTTCTGGCCGACGATGGCGCGAGACTGTGCGGACCTGGCCAGGAAGTGTACCACGTGCCAGGTGCTTCAGAAAGCCCCTGGTCGGCCAGTCGTCAACTACGCCCCCGTCAACAGCGCAATTCCATTCTCTAGATGGGGGATTGACCTGGTCGGCCCCCTGCCCAGAGCCGCCGGGAACAACCGCTACATCATCGTCGCCGTCGACTACTTCACCAAGTGGGTCGAGGCGGAACCCCTGGCCAGCATCACGGGGGCCAGATGCCAAAAATTTGTTTACAAAAACATCATCACACGCTTCGGCGTCCCCCAAGAGATTGTATCAGACAACGGCACCCAATTCGAGGCAGCCCCTTTTCAGGAGCTCCTCCGGGAGTTTGGGGTGAAGCATCGTTTCTCCTCCGTTGCCTACCCTCAGGGCAACGGGCAGGTCGAGAACGCCAACAGGACAATCATGGAGGGGCTGAAGAAAAAACTCCAGGCCGCAGGAGGTAGTTGGGTCGACGAGCTCCCCAACATCCTGTGGTGCTACAGAACCACGCCGAGGAGGGCGACAGGTGAAACACCTTTCGCCCTATGCTACGGCTTTGAGGCAAAGGCACCCACGGAAGTGGCCATCCCCAGCCGACGGGTGGAACAATACGAGCCTGACGCCAACGAAGAAAACATGAAGATTGACCTGCACCTGGTCGACGAGAGGCGTGAGCAAGCTTACGTCCGAGCAGAGAACTACCGGCGTCAAGTAAAATCATACTATGACGCCAAGGTACGTTCCCGGGAATTTCAAGTGGGGGACTACGTCCTCCGTCGAAGGGAAGCAAGCCAGCCGACAGAGGGTGGCAAGCTAACATTGAAGTACGAAGGGCCCTACATCGTCAGTGCTGTGGTCAAACCCGGCACCTACAAGCTTAAACGCCCGAATGGGTCCAATGTACCACGAACGTGGAATGTACACCATCTGGTGAAGTTTTATCAGTAATCCGAAGGAGGTGCAGACGGCGAAGCCCTCACCCCTTAACGGGTTACTGATTGAACGCCACCCTCGGCCTCGAGCCACTTATGAATAAAATCATGTTCCTCTTGATTTTTTCTCTGGAATTTAAAGTAAAAAAGTAGCAGGTGCCCTCATCGGCCACCTCAGAGCGAAAGACTCAGGTATGGCCGACATGGCACCTTGCATTTGCAGCCTACGAGTGACAAGCTCAGGCACCCCATTGTATTTTGTATCAGCGAAGGGCTCAGGCCTAGCTGAGAGAGCACGTCGTCCTGGCCCCGTAAGCCTAGAAGTGAAACGCTCAGGTATGGCCGACGATGTCCCCAAGACGAGGGGCCCGCAAACGGCCCACGTCTTGAAACAGGAAGCTCACCGCGTCGTCCACGCGCCGGAACGCAGGACGACAGGCCTGAAATCATGGCCGAGGTGACAAAATCCCAAAACTCAGGGATGAGCAATGACAGCCGTTGGAAACCAACCAAAAAACTAGCCCGCGTCATAAATAGGCGACGGGACCCGCCCTGAGACCACGGACGTTATAAACGAAGTCCGAACCGACCGAAGGACGAGCACACCCTTCGGCCGAAGCCTGAAAGAAGGATACTCCCCTGAAATAGGGAACGAAAAAAAAAAGAGGGAAGCCGAGGACCGCGCGCCCTTGCCGGCCTCGAGCAATGGAAAAATAAAATCCCCACAACCCCGGCCAAACTTGGCTAAGTACATATCAGTTGAACACAAATGTAGTACCACTAACAGGTGACATGGACGATATAGCCACACGTCCACCACAGACAAGGGCATCGTCAAGGACGAAGCACACGCCTGTAAAACCCTAACCAGTGGTTGGGTGACACGCGAGTGGCAACCTTCATCGGCCACAGCTCTTTGAAGCATCAACAATTGGTAAGAAAAAAAGAATTACAATCGTGAAAGATGACCAGGACGAAGCGGGCAGTATCAATCCTGACAATGACCAGGACGAAGCGGGTAGTATCACATCCGCGTAAGAATCAAGCAATCAAGGAACAATCCCTACTGGCCACAACATCCCGGATGGCCGATACAGGCCCTGAAACCCAGGCTGTTGGTCAAGCGAAAGTTCCTTGGGGATTTGTCCAAGTGTAACACTTGGAGAAAATTCTAGGGAAAAAGGTTCCTTAAGAGGATTCTGACACTTAGAGAAACCATTGGGGAAAGCAAAAGGCAGCCTCATCAGCCACAAAGCCAGGCCTTGACCGATGAAGGTAGGACCACCTCTTAGCCGACAACGGTACCCCAAAGAAGAAACTGTGGCATTTATACTTATAAAATTTTCTAAGTATTCGTATGAAGAAACTCTAGACGAGGCGGGCACCTGTACACCCGCAGGCCGTTAGCTACTTGTGACTTGCATGTATACTTGGTAAAATTTCTAAGTCCAAAGAACTAAGTTCAAGGTACCCTTATCGGCCACAACAGGAGGATCCAGGCCGACGACAACGACATTGGTTCAACACTGGAAATTTCCCAAATCATTTGTCAACACTGAGAGATTCTGTACCAGGACGATGAGAACACCCATCCACTTGAAGTTAGACACTTAGAAAAATTCTAACAAAAAAGAAGAATGGGACAACGCCAGGACGCAGCGGACACCTCAGCTTGCCCGCCTCAGTCAGGGACGGAAAGGAAAACACCTAAGAGGATCTAAAACACTTAGAATTTTTTTGAATAAATCCCAAGTGTTACGACAGCAAAGAAACACCGGACAGGCCGACCAGGCCACCAGACTGAATGGCCTACCTCACGGACGTAGCAGACACTCGCGGGTGACCTAAGTTGTAACTTTTACACTTAGACAAATTTCAAAACTGAAATAGCAAAAGGGAATAGACATGCAAGACATTCAAAGCCGAGCAGAACAGTAAGACGTTCATTCATAAACAATTAAGTACATTGGTGGGCGCTTCGGCCATTACATCAGATGGGCAAAAATAGAAAATTAATTACAAGATAGGGAGCGGGGAGTAGCCGATCAAGACTCTTGGGCGCCTCCATGCCCAGCCTGGTTTTGCTCTTTGGCATCTTCGGCTCCCTCCTTGGCCTCAGTCTCCTGGTCGACAGCAGCTGCTGAACTGGTGGCATCGTCCAGGAAGTCAAACTCGTCGTAATTCGGCTGGCCGAGGCCGGAACTCTCGATTGGGGGCTCCCGCTCCGAAAGAGGAAGCTTGGCCTGCTCCTCGGGATCTTTCATCAGCTTGGGAAGCTTCAAGTTCCGCCTCGCCCACCCGGAGGTATAATTCATGGCTTTGAGGGCACGCGATAGCCGCCGACACAGGAGCCTCTGCATCCGCTCTTGGCCCATGTTGTAGTACACGGCCATCTCCCTGCTAAAATACTCCTGGCCGGCGGGGGAGTTCATTCCCCAATCTTCAAGCTTGGCGGCCACCACCTCGTAACACCAGGAGAGCCGCTCATCGGCCTTCCACCCCTCGGCCAAGAACTGCTGAACGGCCTCATCAGCGGCCTTCACAGCGGCAGCCTCGGCCTCAGCTTTTGCCTTCACGACTTCATCATTTCTGCGCCGTTCAGCCTCAAGCGCCCTCTGGCTCTCCTCGAGTTTGGCCAGGGCATCGTCCCTGGCTGCAGCTGCCTCATCGGCCTTCTATTGCAAGGCCTTGGCATCCTCCCGGAGCCGATCCAAGCAGGCCACCGCCTCATCGGCCGAGGCAGCTTTCTTATAACACTCCAAAAATTTAAATAAATAAATAAAAATAGATAATTGTGTTAACCAAATAAAATGTTCCAAGTGTCATTTTTTTTAAACAGATAAAATTTCGACAACAAAAATGATATTTTGGTACGATAAATTTTGATTTCGTGAAAGTGAGATTTTTTTTTAGTAGATAAAACTTGGAGTTAATAAGGTGACATTTTAGAAGTGCTGGTTAGTACGAATGTGCACAATTTACTCAAAAAGATAAAAGTTTACTTCTCAACTAAATTCATAACAATAATATGTACGAATAATTTATGGAATAACTTGTGTAGGTATTATGCATATTAACATTCATATTAAAAGACATGCGTACAGTTATGAAATATTAAAGGATCAATATATTATACCTTACCTAAACGTATGGACAGTACTACTATTATAAACCTACACATGGAGCATATCTTTAATTAAGGAAAGTTAGTAAATAAAAATCAATGCATAAGATCTTGTAACCTATATTCATATGAGAGCTGCGTATCACTTTCTAATAATAATATAGGCTAGAAGGAAACTGACGTTAATAATAATAATGCCCGGAGATTCTTAACGAACGGCTAGAGCCATCAACGAGCTATATAAATAGCAGACCTGCGTTTTTCCTCTCATTCACAAAGTAGCAGCGATAGATATATATATACACACATATACGTACGTCTATATATATACCAAAACTTGACCCTGCAATATACCCAAAAACTAAAGCTGAAAAACACTTCCAAACGCTGCCCTCCGTGAGACGAACCCAACGGTGAAAGAACCGTTGAAAACGAACGTCGGAGTAGGGAGAACAAGTTTGCCGGAGTTTCGGCGGGCTAACCTTCTCGACAAAAAACGGAGAAGACGAAGGACCTGCCGCCGCCGCCAGTCCATTTCTGACCTTCGCCGGAGTCCACTGCCACCGCCGCTCCAACCGTTGGTCTTCGGAAAGGTAAGTCACGGCACCTGCATTTAATCTCGTTTCCGGCGTGTCATGCGAAGAAGATGACTCCATGTGTATTCAAAAATTACGGTGGACTATTTTAATTAGTGTTTGGGCTGAATTTTGGGCCTGTTTTAAATGATCAAGCCACAAACTTAAGTACCTGGGCCACTGGTTAATAATAATAATAATAATAATAATAATCTACAAAAATTGATAAATTTGAGATGGGAAATATTAATGATGAAATTGGCTTGGTTGATTGTTAGTAATCACTTCGGTAAGTTTGTTAATTGTTATTTATCATAATTATGTAATGTTGAGTGATAAAATGAATTTATAGTGTAGTTAATAAAAAAATGAATAAACGGACATTATATAAAAATAATAATTAGTTAGTTTGAGTTAGTACCATAATTAGAATTGGATGGATATTATTTTCACTAATTATTGGATTAATTGAAGTAGATTAAAAAAAAACATAATTACGGGCTCGGAAAGTTTAAGTGTTGAGTAAATTAATAAAGTCATATTTAGTTAACGATGATAAGTTATACTTGGATTTACTAATTGAACTAATGTGGATTAGTATAAAGTGATTGATAAAAAAAATGATCAGCGGATAAAATAAATTCGAATGATTAATTAATCTTGTTAGTAAAATTAGAATAATAAAATAAAAGGGAAGATTGGATAAGTTATAAAAAAATAAAAAAATAAAAAAATATAAAAATAGAATAAGTGACTAACTATACCATCTTAATTAAAAGGTGAATATTTAGAGGCCTGAATAGAAGAAGAGAGATAGGAGCATCGGATTAGAGGTAAGTCACATTGCAACCAAAACTTTATTTCTTTCCTCGTTAATAATTATTTGCTTGATATGTGATGATGGTATTAATATTTTGAATGATGAATTTGTGAACAAGTTGTATTGTTGTGATTTCGAGATATATTGGATTATACGTACATGAGATATTTTGGGAAGATATAAAGTTAAGAATTTAAGGATAATAATCCTTGTGAAATTCTGTCCAAGAGACATAAATATGAGATTTTTGGAAAGACAAGATAAAAGACTATTTTCATAATTGGGGGCACCGCGGGAGAAATCCGTAGGTGTCGGGCCACCTTCACGTCCGTTAATGGTGAGGGAGGGTTAGGACTACTACTACTTGATTCGAGAAGTTACAATAAATTAAATGAATTTTTGGAAGGTTCGGTAACCACCCCGAACAACTGGGCATTAGATCCCCTTTTTATTAGAGCAGTAGTAGTAGTACCTATTCTCTTAAGGGTCTTTGAACCTGGAATTTAGGGAGTATATCCCATTTGAGTAGGGAGACGTTGACGTCAGGACTACTTAGACTTCGTACTACTCAGAGGGCTTGGAATCCCTTTAGGGGGTGTGCACACTTAAGGTAGAAGTCTAGATTCTAATAGAGAAGATGAGGTACCGAGAGGAGATCGGAGTGACCGTACAAAACAACGGTTCACTGGGCTCAGGAATCGAGGTAACGCTTGAGCACCGCCCGTCTAAATGACTAGGAAGATTTGCTATAAAGCTCTTTTGAGGAAAACAAATAAATTTTGTATTTGGAGAATTATTCTTTGAAATACTTACAAGAATCATTGAAGGAACTTTTTACCACTCTTTTTTTTTTTGAACAAAATTATTGGAAACTCGTTTTTGTATATATTATATACAAATGCTTATTTTTCAACCAAACTATTATTTTACGGGGTTGGGTGGGATTTACTTAGCGAAAGCTAATTTTTGTGTTATTTGTTTCTTTTATTTCCTTATGTTACAGATGGTGTGATATCCGAAGATTGATGCCTTGAGAGCGCTCCTAGAAGACTTTTAGAGTAACCTCGTTTAGAATAAACTTTGTTAGATTTCATTATCTCGACTGTTGAATTTAAAGGATTATTTTAGATACATTTATGGCGGTTAGCCTAAGCATCCAGTCAGTTTAAGGCTGGGTGTGGCGGTAACACGCCCCTTTTCCATGTTATGGTTTATTTCCGCTGCAAGAATTTGGAAGTTTCAAATAAGTAATAAAAGTTCGCTATTCAGTTAAGTATTATTTTGGGAGGGAAATTTGGGGGTGTTACAAGTTGGTATCAGAGACCTTGGTTTTCCGAAGGGATGAGAACACAAGGTAATAGGTCGTAGGGAGCAATTCTGTCACAAAGACGATAATAGTCTAAGCTGGTTGGTGCATAATTGAGTCTTTGCGCTCGTCCAACTAACTGGGAATTTCTCCTTGTGCTGAAACTTTGTTGTTCGAAATCCTGGAAGAAAACTTTGGAAATCGTACCTTCAAAAAATATATATATATATATATATATATAGGAAATTAAGCTAGGAAATAATCTCCTAGGAACGTGGTGAGGATTTTGTGAGTATTATTTTCTTTGCATGAATATGATGATAATTGTGATGATTGTGGGCCCATATGGGGACCCCAAATGTTGAAGGGAATGCCTAACAAGGCAAAATTTTAAAGTGACCAAGGTATGTACGAACACTATGTGCAAAAACATGTTCCTATGCCAACTGTGAATCATATGTGTGATTGCATGTAAGATACAATTTATTATTGTGATAATTATGGCCTATGGAACCCTTGATTCTAGGATCCCTAGGGAAAGTAGGAAAAATCTCTCACTAACACTAAGTTTGTATTATTTTATGGAGACACCATGCCACCAAGAAGGGACCCGAATGCTGTGCCCACCAACGCGGAATTGGCTCAGACCGTGCACCTACTGAGTCAACTCACTCATACTATTGCAACTACGGTACTCCAAAACAACCAGCCGCGTAACAACGGCAATGACATGGAAACCCGGGTAGCGGCGCGAAATCCACCGAGTTTCCTAGGGCAAGAAGATCCAACCATTCTCGAGAATTGGATACGCACCTTCGACAAGCTATTTGATACAATCAATTGCCCAGAAGAGCAACGAATTGGCATCGCTGTTTATTATCTGCACGAAGAGGCAGATAGATGGTGGGTTAATGTGGGACCAGGATTGCGTGCCCAACCAGATTTCACCTGGGAACGGTTTAAGCGTACACTGCGGAAAAGATTTTACCCGCCACACGTGCAGGCGGAAAATTACGACAAATTCCTGCATCTGAAGCAAGGGGAGATGACGGTGCAAGACTATCACTCTCAATTCGTCTCGCTAGCAGAGTTTGCGTCATCACTAGTGCCCGATGAGGAAAGCAAGGTTGAGAAGTTCATCCGGGGACTCAATTATGACACTCAGAAGGCTTTGAGTGTGCAAGAATGCCAAACCCTGGATGATACCTATTATAGGGCTGCCAAACACTATCGGGTGATTCAACTTCAAAGAGAAACCCACAAGAAAATTCGGAGGAACGAAGAGGAGGAGAGACAAAGGGAAAAGCGGGTCAAGGTTCATCACTATGAGCCGACACACAATCGCCCAAGGGATGAGAGGAAATTCCAGGGGCATGATCAGAGGCGTGACCGTCGAAGTGGAGCAGAGGGGAGGCGTTTCAACTGTACAAAATGCAATAGAGACCACCCAGGGGTGGATTGTGCCGGCAACCGGGTCAAATGCTACACATGTGGCAAAATGGGCCACCGTGCATTCGAATGCTGGGATAACGTAGGGAGAGGACCACAGAACCAGGGCCTTAATCACAGAGGCGGCAATCGAGGCGGAACTCAAGGTGAAAATAGGCCAAGAGCTGAGAACCGGGGCAACCACAACCCGGGAAATCGTGCTGGAGGCGGTGATCGGGGCCAAAATCGGAATCAGGGAGGAGGCAACAACAAAAATGCTCCCAATCAGGGTCGGATTTATGTAATGAATCAGGCCCAGGCCCGCGCACACGATGTGGTGGCAGGTATCATTCATGTTAATACCACTCCTGCTTATGTCCTATTTGATTCTGGTGCTTCTCACAGTTTTATCTCTTCTAAATTTGTTGAGAAGTTAAAGATAGAACCTGCAACTAGCATAGAATTGAATGTAAAAACAGCAAATAATAGTGTGGTAGCTTGTAGAAATGTATACATGAATGTACCCATAGTTATAGCCGACGTCAGTCTACCGGGGGACTTGGTGCAGTTTGACCTCGAAGACCTTGACGTAGTGTTGGGCATGGATTGGCTCGGGAACTACAAGGCAAAGATCTTATGCAACGAGCAGAAAGTGATCATGAAGAGCCAGAGCGGGAAGCGAGTATCATTCAAGGCAGTTGTGAACAAACCAGGTGCCAAGTTGATGACGATGCGACAAATGAGGAGGTACATCCGGAAGGGATGCGAAGCATACCTATGCATGCTGAAGGAGACCCACAATGAGGAGCAGACGACTGATCAGATTCATGTGGTCAGTGAATTTCCCGACGTATTTCCAGAAGACATTCCGGGGATGCCTCCGGAATGGGAGGTTGAGTTCTCCATCGACTTAATGTCGGGGACTACACCGATTTCCAAGGCACCGTACAGGATGGCTCCGAAGGAAATGCAAGAACTGAAGGAACAACTAGAGGAATTGCTTGAGAAGGGCTATATCAAGCCGAGCGTTTCACCTTGGGGCGCTCCGGTCTTGTTTGTGAAGAAGAAGGACGGTAGCTTGAGGTTGTGCATTGACTACCGAGAGCTAAACCGTGTTACCATCAAGAACCGATACCCTCTACCCCGCATCGATGACCTGTTCGATCAATTGAAGGGGGCGGGTATATTTTCCAAGATTGACCTTCGATCCGGCTACCATCAAGTGAGGATAGCGGATAGGGATATACCGAAGACTGCATTTCGTACGAGATATGGGCACTATGAGTTCACTGTAATGCCGTTCGGTTTAACCAACGCACCAGCGGTGTTCATGGACCTAATGAACCGTGTATTTCGCCCCTATCTTGATACATTTGTGGTGGTATTCATTGATGATATCTTGGTATACTCAAAGAACGAGAAGGATCATGAAGAACATCTGAGGCTCGTCCTACAGACTTTGAGAGAACATCAGCTTTACGCCAAACTTTCCAAGTGTGACTTTTGGAAAGACCGAGTAGCATTTCTGGGTCACATCATCACTCGAGACGGAGTATCTGTGGACCCGTCGAAGATCGAAGCAGTAACCGAGTGGCGAGCACCTACTACTGTTACGGAAGTGCGGAGTTTCCTTGGGTTAGCGGGCTACTATCGGAGATTTGTAAAAGATTTCTCCAAGATAGCTAGACCATTAACCAATTTGATGAAGAAGACCACAAAGTTCCAGTGGACAGATGATTGTGAGAAAGCCTTCCAAGAGCTGAAGAAAAGACTAACGACTGCACCGGTACTGACACTTCCATCGGGAACTGATGGATTTGAAATCTATTGCGATGCATCCAAGAATGGGCTGGGCTGCGTACTAATGCAGAACGGGAAGGTAGTAGCTTATGCATCCCGACAACTAAGGGTGCACGAAGTCAACTATCCAACCCATGACCTGGAGTTAGCTGCGGTGGTGTTTGCCTTGAAGATTTGGAGGCACTACTTGTATGGACCGCCATGCAAGATATTCACGGACCACAAGAGCTTAAAATACATATTTACGCAGAAAGAACTCAACATGAGGCAGAGGAGGTGGCTAGAACTTGTTAAAGACTACGACTTGGAGATCTTATATCACGAGGGAAAAGCCAATGTTGTAGCTGATGCCTTGAGTCGAAAAACGGAACACACGAGCCGGGCTGCGTGGATACTATCAGAAGAGTTGTACCGGGAATTTCAGAGGCTGAACTTAGAAGTCAAGGAGCATGGTGAAGTAGAGGGTGAGATCCAGTTATACACTATGACCATTTTACCCTCTATCTTTGATGAAATAAAGACTGGTCAACCAGGAGACGTGAAGCTTGAACGAGTCAAGGCTGGGATGAAGAACGGGGTAAACGGACCATTTCAGTTGCATGAAGACGGGAGTATCCGCTATAAGGGTAGGTGGTGTGTCCCGACGAAGTGTGAGCACATTAAAAAGCAAATCATGGAGGAAGGACACAACACGCCCTATTCGGTACACCCGGGAGGAGACAAATTGTATAAAGATTTGAAGCAAAACTTCTGGTGGCCGAGAATGAAAATCGAGGTGGCGGAGTTCGTGGCACGATGCTTAAACTGTCAAAAAGTGAAAGCCGAGAGGTGCAAGCCCAAGGGACTCGTGCAACCCTTGGAGGTGCCAACGTGGAAGTGGGACTCTATCTCGATGGACTTTGTCGGGGGTTTACCCTTAACAACGTCCGGGAAAGATAAGATTTGGGTGATTGTTGATAGATTGACCAAGACCGCCAGGTTCATTCCCATGAATGAAACTTGGAGCATGGATAAGCTAGCGAAAGCCTACATCAAGCATGTGGTGAAGTATCATGGTGTACCCCGAGATATTGTATCTGACAGAGACTCCAGATTCCTATCTCAATTCTGGAGGGAACTTCAAGCTGCTATGGGGACCACTTTGAAACTGAGCACAGCATTCCATCCTACTACGGACGGTCAGACCGAGAGGACTATTCAGACACTTGAGGATATGCTGAGAGCCTGTGTGCTGGACTTGCAAGGATCATGGGACGAACACTTAGACCTAATAGAGTTCTCGTACAATAACAGTTACCACGCGAGCATTAAGATGGCTCCGTACGAGGCTCTATACGGTCAAAAGTGTCGAAGTCCATTGTGTTGGGGCGATATGGTAGACCAGGTTGTCTTAGGGCCGCAATACTTGCAAGACACGATGGAGAAGATCAAACTCATTCAGGCAAGGATGAAGGCAGCGCAAGATAGACAAAAATCATATGCGGACCTAGGAAGAAAACCAGCTGAATTTGAGGTGGGAGAGAAAGTACTTCTCAAGGTCTCTCCTACTAAAGGCGTTATGAGATTCGGGAAGAAGGGCAAGCTGAGTCCTCGATTCATCGGACCTTACGAAATTCTAGAGAAGGTGGGAAGAGTGGCTTACAGATTGGCTCTACCCACAGAATTGAGTAAGGTAAGGATTAAATATGTTCTTTCTAAACGTATTCCAAAGTTTGGAAACCAAGCTGAAACATTTTAACGTGTGCAAGGTACACGACGTATTCCATATATCCCAACTGAAGAAGTATGTCCGTGATGAGGCGCATATCCTAAACCCAGAGGTAAGGACCTCACTTTTAGATAGCTAGGATGCGGTTAGTAGACATTGAAATAACCCTTTATGTAATTAGGTGATCGAGTTGGATGAAACCTTGACGTATGAAGAGAGACCTGTGAAAATCTTAGACACGAAGACACGTGAAACTCGGAGAAAGGCCATTCGAATGGTCAAAGTTTTGTGGTCAAATCACTTGGCTGAAAACGCCACATGGGAGACGGAGGATGACATGAGAAAACGTTATCCTGAGCTATTTAGTCAAGGTAATGTATTAGTTACGAGGACGTAACCTCTCTTTTAGGGGTGTAGAATGTAATACTTTAGAATTTCGTCAATTTACTTTAGTTTATGTTTCGGGACGAAACATCTTTTAAGGAGGGTAGATTATAACACTCCAAAAATTTAAATAAATAAATAAAAATAGATAATTGTGTTAACCAAATAAAATGTTCCAAGTGTCATTTTTTTTAAACAGATAAAATTTCGACAACAAAAATGATATTTTGGTACGATAAATTTTGATTTCGTGAAAGTGAGATTTTTTTTTTAGTAGATAAAACTTGGAGTTAATAAGGTGACATTTTAGAAGTGCTGGTTAGTACGAATGTGCACAATTTACTCAAAAAGATAAAAGTTTACTTCTCAACTAAATTCATAACAATAATATGTACGAATAATTTATGGAATAACTTGTGTAGGTATTATGCATATTAACATTCATATTAAAAGACATGCGTACAGTTATGAAATATTAAAGGATCAATATATTATACCTTACCTAAACGTATGGACAGTACTACTATTATAAACCTACGCATGGAGCATATCTTTAATTAAGGAAAGTTAGTAAATAAAAATCAATGCATAAGATCTTGTAACCTATATTCATATGAGAGTTGCGTATCACTTTCTAATAATAATATAGGCTAGAAGGAAACTGACGTTAATAATAATAATGCCCGGAGATTCTTAACGAACGGCTAGAGCCATCAACGAGCTATATAAATAGCAGACCTGCGTTTTTCCTCTCATTCACAAAGTAGCAGCGATAGATATATATATACACACATATACGTACGTCTATATATATACCAAAACTTGACCCTGCAATATACCCAAAAACTAAAGCTGAAAAACACTTCCAAACGCTGCCCTCCGTGAGACGAACCCAACGGTGAAAGAACCGTTGAAAACGAACGTCGGAGTAGGGAGAACAAGTTTGCCGGAGTTTCGGCGGGCTAACCTTCTCGACAAAAAACGGAGAAGACGAAGGACCTGCCGCCGCCGCCAGTCCATTTCTGACCTTCGCCGGAGTCCACTGCCGCCGCCGCTCCAACCGTTGGTCTTCGGAAAGGTAAGTCACGGCACCTGCATTTAATCTCGTTTCCGGCGTGTCATGCGAAGAAGATGACTCCATGTGTATTCAAAAATTACGGTGGACTATTTTAATTAGTGTTTGGGCTGAATTTTGGGCCTGTTTTAAATGATCAAGCCACAAACTTAAGTACCTGGGCCACTGGTTAATAATAATAATAATAATAATAATAATAATAATAATCTACAAAAATTGATAAATTTGAGATGGGAAATATTAATGATGAAATTGGCTTGGTTGATTGTTAGTAATCACTTCGGTAAGTTTGTTAATTGTTATTTATCATAATTATGTAATGTTGAGTGATAAAATGAATTTATAGTGTAGTTAATAAAAAAATGAATAAACGGACATTATATAAAAATAATAATTAGTTAGTTTGAGTTAGTACCATAATTAGAATTGGATGGATATTATTTTCACTAATTATTGGATTAATTGAAGTAGATTAAAAAAAACATAATTACGGGCTCGGAAAGTTTAAGTGTTGAGTAAATTAATAAAGTATTTAGTTAACGATGATAAGTTATACTTGGATTTACTAATTGAACTAATGTGGATTAGTATAAAGTGATTGATAAAAAAAATGATCAGCGGATAAAATAAATTCGAATGATTAATTAATCTTGTTAGTAAAATTAGAATAATAAAATAAAAGGGAAGATTGGATAAGTTATAAAAAAATAAAAAAATAAAAATATATAAAAATAGAATAAGTGACTAACTATACCATCTTAATTAAAAGGTGAATATTTAGAGGCCTGAATAGAAGAAGAGAGATAGGAGCATCGGATTAGAGGTAAGTCACATTGCAACCAAAACTTTATTTCTTTCCTCGTTAATAATTATTTGCTTGATATGTGATGATGGTATTAATATTTTGAATGATGAATTTGTGAACAAGTTGTTTTGTTGTGATTTCGAGATATATTGGATTATACGTACATGAGATATTTTGGGAAGATATAAAGTTAAGAATTTAAGGATAATAATCCTTGTGAAATTCTGTCCAAGAGACATAAATATGAGATTTTTGGAAAGACAAGATAAAAGACTATTTTCATAATTGGGGGCACCGCAGGAGAAATCCGTAGGTGTCGGGCCACCTTCACGTCCGTTAATGGTGAGTTAGGGTTAGGACTACTACTACTTGATTCGAGAAGTTACAATAAATTAAATGAATTTTTGGAAGGTTCGGTAACCACCCCGAACAACTGGGCATTAGATCCCCTTTTTATTAGAGCAGTAGTAGTAGTACCTATTCTCTTAAGGGTCTTTGAACCTGGAATTTAGGGAGTATATCCCATTTGAGTAGGGAGACGTTGACGTCAGGACTACTTAGACTTCGTACTACTCAGAGGGCTTGGAATCCCTTTAGGGGGTGTGCACACTTAAGGTAGAAGTCTAGATTCTAATAGAGAAGATGAGGTACCGAGAGGAGATCGGAGTGACCGTACAAAACAACGGTTCACTGGGCTCAGGAATCGAGGTAACGCTTGAGCACCGCCCGTCTAAATGACTAGGAAGATTTGCTATAAAGCTCTTTTGAGGAAAACAAATAAATTTTGTATTTGGAGAATTATTCTTTGAAATACTTACAAGAATCATTGAAGGAACTTTTTACCACTCTTTTTTTTTTGAACAAAATTATTGGAAACTCGTTTTTGTATATATTATATACAAATGCTTATTTTTCAACCAAACTATTATTTTACGGGGTTGGGTGGGATTTACTTAGCGAAAGCTAATTTTTGTGTTATTTGTTTCTTTTATTTCCTTATGTTACAGATGGTGTGATATCCGAAGATTGATGCCTTGAGAGCGCTCCTAGAAGACTTTTAGAGTAGCCTCGTTTAGAATAAACTTTGTTAGATTTCATTATCTCGACTGTTGAATTTAAAGGATTATTTTAGATACATTTATGGCGGTTAGCCTTAGCATCCAGTCAGTTTAAGGCTGGGTGTGGCGGTAACACGCCCCTTTTCCATGTTATGGTTTATTTCCGCTGCAAGAATTTGGAAGTTTCAAATAAGTAATAAAAGTTCGCTATTCAGTTAAGTATTATTTTGGGAGGGAAATTTGGGGGTGTTACATTTCTGCTCAAGCTCTTTCAGACGAGCAATCTCCCGGTGCTGCCTCTTGTGGGTCTCCATGAGCATGAAGGCACCCTGCACAAAAAAGGCAAACAAAGACTCAGGCAAATGATTCCACCTGGACGACGAGAAAAACGACAAACAAGAAGGAAGGGAACTTACTTGGACGAGGAGGTCCATCCCGCCTTCATACACCTTGACGTCCCCGAGCCTCTTGAGGTAGGCCCGATCTTTGGCCGGCATGGCCTGGGCCAGCACATCATGGCCGAGGACGACATCGTCAAGAACACCCCCGCCGACGGGGTATTCCACCATTTTCTGGTAGGTGGCAGCGGCAATCTCCTTGCTGGCCCTCTTCGTCCGTGGCTCCTGGACGAGAGGGAGCGATTGGGTAGCATCGCTTGGAGCAGCAGTAAGATCCACAACGGGACCACTATCATCCACACTTGGGACGGTCAGAGTACCGACCTCATCGGCATGAGAAGGAGACGGTGCCCTCTTCGTCTTCTTAGTAACATTCAGGCCAGCCTCGGTCAATTTCTTCTGGCCGTCAGTGGGAGGCCTCTTCTTCTTGGACTGGGCAGGCTTCGGGGCCGCACTAGCAGTAGCCCCGCCCCCTCGGCACGTCTGGCCGCCTCGGCCACCTTTGCAGCCAACTCCTCGGCCGCCTTGGCCTTGGCTATAGCCATGATTGAACGGCGATCCATGACAAAATCTACACAAAGGAAAACAAACAGATTAGCAAGGCAAAAGAACAAATAACAAAGAAAGAAAGCCGAAGAAAGAATTACCATCGGCCTCAGCAGGAATGCCCAAATCCGGGCCGTCGGCCTCTTCGAACGTAGTGGTCATCCTCGGCCAAAGTTGGACATCGTCCTCCTTGTCGCCATACACATAGTATCTTAAGAAGCCGAGGGCGGTCATCTTATATTCGGTGATGTAGTCTTTCACGCTCCTCGCCCCCCCTTCCAAGAATGCCTCCACCTGAGCGTCCAAGATAGAACTCCTCGGCGGGTCGTGCAGATTGAACCTCCCGGTATGGCCGAGAGAGGGAAACTCAGTGCCATTCTCACCAAGGGATACAAAAACGAACTTGCTCTTCCACCCATGAATGGACGAAGGCAAGTCCGTGAAGCTCCTCTTCTTCGGCAGCTGTTAAAGAGTAGCCTAGGCCGCACAGTTTTTGTGACTTCCTCGGCCGATCTGATAAAGATTCATGAACAGAGCCGTCGTCGGCCTGTAGCCCAGCTCCTCACAGCGGAGCAAGAACCCCACCATCAATGAGTAGCTGTTCGGGGTCAACAGGGCCGGAGGGAGTCCCACCATGTCCAGATATTCGGTGATGAAGGGATGAAGGGGAAACCTCATCCCCTTGGCGAAACTCATCGGGTATACACCAAAGTATCCCGGTGGCGGATGGAGTACATGGTCCGTCGGCCTGGGTGCCCTAACCCTCCCGAACGGCCCCACGTACATCTGGGCTACCAAATAGTCAGCCGCGCTGCTCTCCGGCTTGATCAGGAAAATGTTTGTCAGATCCAGGTAGGAGACGCCCGGCCCACTCTTCGGCCTCCTTATTTTCTTCGGCTTATCTGCTCCCTTCACGGCAGACACCGGTCTCGGGCACGGAATAACAGCGGAAGTGGACGCCCTGTCCACCATATCAATGGCCACCTCAGCGGTCACCTTCACAGCAGCCGATGAGGTGCCACCCCTTCAGAAATGGGCCGGGCTCGTGAACCAACGTATCAACGGAGTAAAAGCCTACGGATCACACGGGCAATGAGCGCCCACAACGGCCAAGGGACCCCCGTCGGCCGAAAATGTGCCAACTCAGATTATGGTCCTGAAGCCAAGGAACCCGGGTGCCCTCGTCGGCCGCGCCCTCGTCGGCCACGCCCCCGTCGGCCACGAAGACCTCACAGAACCGGATTCTACACTTACTCATTTGTACAGCCCATTAGTGGCTTTGTATTCGGCCCAGTAGCGGTCCAGTTGTAAATGGGCCTCCCAAGCCCAAGGCTTGGGAGCCCAGCCCGTATTTTCTCTATAAATACTCCCCTTGGGAGTAGTTATAGGGGTTACAAAATCATTCTATTGAAGCATATTATTGCACTTCTCTCTCTAGCTCTCACTTCTCTTTAGATATACTCTATCAATTTTATTAAGAATCGACGAAATCACGAAGGATTATTCGTATATTCTTAACAAATATTGTGGCTTGATCTATTCCTCTTCTTCGGGATCGTTCAGAGCCTTACGGGAGTTCTTGAGAGCTTTTCTGCAACGTTTCTTCGTCTGAAAATCCTCCTCCCTTTTCTCTCAATTGAGACCCCTATTTATAGGTGTGGAGGGGGTGAAAATATGCTTTAGGGTTTGGGAAATTCGTCCATATCCCTTGGGCCCTGATTAAAATGGGCCTTGGGCTCCATTTGCTTGTATTTAATAGCTAGAAAAATCAGCACTTATGCAATGTATCTGGACAGCTAGTAAAATGGTTTTTTATTTGCCTATGACAATTAGCCCGATTTTGAAAAGCAATTTTAAATCAATAAACAAGATTAATCGAACTTATTGATTTAAAATTATATTATTTCCATCGGGCTCATTTAAGGTGCAAAAACGCAGCGGATTCAATTAACTTCTTTAACCAAATGCATTCCCGATTTTGAGTTAAAGTTGGTCGTATTACTTCGTAACATACTCCAATTGCAATTCTCACTCGGACTTTAACTGGGAGATCACAGCTAATACGTCGCATATTAAGTAGAAAACTCCAAGTTGTTCTCAATTTTTAAGAATTTTTATCCTAGCAGGACTTTTATTCTGCTGAAATTTCAAGATCCAAATTCATCCTATCGCTGCATATAAATATCAGTCCCACCTTTCCCCTCTTGTGCACCTTCGATTTCAAAAGCAGTAGCTATTCCGGAAGCAGAGCAGGTGAATATATATATATATATATATATTTTAATACTCCGTAGCATAGCATCCTTTCTGTCTTGTTGCTTTTCTTTGACGTATTGCAGGGGAAGTTATGATTTCCAGCAGTACTGATGCGGAAGAAGATGGAATAATTTGACCAAATTTCTTTGACGTATCATCCCTTTATTTATTTTGACTAAAACTGAGATGCTGGTACCATTAGCTGCACTCGGAGACGAAGAACCAGTAACAAATTTTGTGGAATGATGATTCCATCAAGTACGGAGTTCGTGATATCGATGGCCAGACCAGGTCGCTGCTGGGGAGGAAGAAGGTGCCAGATTTTTGTTGAAGAGGCGATCCAGGATTCCACCGTTGAGATGGTGAAGCCGCTGACCCGAACTCGTGCAAAAGAAGACAGACCACCCGATTGCTTAATCGACCTTTAGGCCCAGAAGACGGTGAATCTTAATGCTCGGGAGGGTTCCGCCATGGCTGCTGCGGAAGCTAGTTGGTGTTTGGAAAAATTATTGGCAGATGAGTTGATACGGCGGAGAGAGGTAGATGATTGCTGCGGAAAGCTCGTTTTGCTGTGGTTTTGCTGCGTTTTTGGCGAGGAGAGTTCGATCGATAGCTAGGCTGCGTACTCCCCTGCGTGAAGATGATTGGAGAAGCCTATTTGAACGTGAAGATGATCCTTGCTTGACCTTTTTTTTTTTAAAGAATTGGGCCCATTCAGAATTTTAGCCTTCCCATTTTTAAAGGCTTGGGCTATATTCCACAAGTGGAGTTATTTAATAATAAGGAGGCCTGATTTCTTTGCTACTTGAAGTAATTTGAACGTTGTGTCACTTGTTGAAGAGGAAGGAGCTAAGCCTATTGTCGGTTGTTGGTGTCACTTGGGGCCCTTCGTTGGGCTAGTGACACCGATCTAAAAAATTAGGCCTGATGAAGTTGTCGGTGTCGCTAGGGGCCTTTCGTTGGGCTAGTGGCACCGATCTAAAGAATTAGGCCGATTACCGGTCATCGGTGTCGCTTGGGGCCCTTCGTTGGGCTAGTGGCACCGATATAAAGAATTAGGCCGATTGTCGGTCGTCGGTGTCACTTGGGACCCTTCGTTGGGTTAGTGGCACTGATCTAAAGAATTAGTCCGATTACCGGTCATCAGTGTCACTTTGGGCCCTTCGTTGGGTTAGTGGCACTGATCTAAAGAATTGGTCCGATTGTCGGTCATCGATGTCGCTTGGGGCCCTTCGTTGGGCTAGTGGCACCGATCTAAAGAATTAGGCCGATGAAGTCGTCGGTGTCGCTTGGGACCCTTCGTTGGGTTAGTGGCATCGATCTAAAGAATTAGTCTGATTGTCGGTCATCGGTGTCACTTGGGGCCCTTCGTTGGGTTAGTGGCACCGATCTAAAGAATTGGTCTGATTGCCGGTCATCGGTGACGCTTGGGGCCCTTCGTTGGGCTAGTGGCACCGATCTAAAAAATTAGGCCAATGAAGTCCTGTGAATACAAAGCTCTGCTCATGCCATTTATGAAGGGCGGCCATTTTGCCGTTTATGAAGGCTGACCATTTAGCCAGTTTGAATGACGACCACTTCAACGGTTTGAAGGTTAGAGCGGCGCTGATTGAAGATGATGTTTGAAGCTTAACTCAATCAATTTCAGGCGAGGCGCAGACTTGAGAACTCTCATATCTTGGTATGACTTTGTTTTTCGTAATCCCTTTGGCTAAAAACTTAATTGGGTTTTGTTATAATTGAACTCAAAAATGAAACTTTTGAGCTGCCTACGTACTCCTATGAAGGAGATCAAGTCAAACGTAGTTCATATGTACCACTTGAATTGGTAATTTGAAGGGACCGT